TTACCAAAGATTTAACTGATATGCCAGTTTCAATCACCTCTTGGCCTTTTGATACAGCTACATCTTGTGGTTATAGATATATATATATATATATATATATATATCACTGAAGTAATTTGTACTTCTATTAATATATATATAATTGCGAGTGTGTGTGTCTATGTGTAGAATAATTAAAATGCATAAATGAATTTCACGTTTGATAGGTTAAAAGAAGAATTAAGCCAAATTATTTTAATATTATTTTTAAAAAAGTCTAGTTGTTTTAGTTATAAAAAGTATACAGAATTGAAACACCTGTTATGGAAATGTAAAAAGGAAGCTGTATGAATGATGATAAATATTAATTCAGATTGAATTGTGATAAAATTAATGAATTTCTACATTTAAAAGAAGTTGATTGGATTAAGAACGGGTTTTACTATTATTTTTTAAAGTTAATATTTGTCATTACGTCTGTTTGCATTATTTTTTTAACGAACAATTACAAACTGGTTTCTGCGATTATGTTTAATTCTGTCTACTTGATTTCTCAATAGTTTGATTTATTTGAATTATGCAAAATTAGACAAATGACTAGTTCTGAAAGAACTATTGAAAGTTTCAAAGCTGAAATGATGTTATAAAGAGCAAAAGAAGGAAAAACAACTTAAAATTTATGAGCAAAATTATAATTTTTTATTATTATTGAAAGCAATAATAATATCTTTATTAAGGGTTTGGAATGCGTTAATGAAAATAAAAACAATATGTTGTTACTCAAAGTACTAGCAAAAAATGTATTTTTGTTTGTTTAAATCTTTGTTTGTATCATATTTTTCTACTTTAATAAGTTAAAATATTAAAACTGTTGTATGAAAATTTGATAAATTATTTCATAGATTATAAAATACAAAAAAAGACTTGTTTATTTATTTTTGATTTGTAACTGAGTAAAAAGCATCAAGTATTATGAATGTGGCACCACTATTGTGATGCACAATAGCACAAGGTCAAGTCTGTCGTAGTATACAAATTAACAGGTTCTGAATCACATCTCAGGTTGCTGTTGTAAACTCTGTAAATATTCTGGAGCTCTTTTTTGTTAATGTGAAACCCCTAGCCAAGATTTATGGTGCATATTTGAACTTATGCTAAAATGGGATTTAATATTGGTGATCTTGCAAACTATTAATATTGCTTTAATGCATTTGCGTCCAGTCAGCAAATTGCAATAGTGAATTTTATGTAATAACTTTAAGGGCTTTTAGTCTAATTGTAATTAAATTTAGCACAACATATAGATTTGTGCTATGTATATATTTTATCAAATAACGATTCAATTTATAAATAACTGAATTATTTAATGTCATATATACTGTGATGGAATGGATTTTGAATTGTCGTATTTAATATTACAATTGTTCTTAATATTTCTATGTTAGCATTCATTTATGTGAAATTGGATCATTGGATTCATGATTAATTTACACTTCTAATTTTGCATTAATAAATTTTACTATAAAATAACTAGTTGTTTCCTATATATATCAATATTGTGAGCAATATTATAAAATTTTAATAATTGTTTTGAGTAGTTTGAACTAGTAAATTGTACTGTTTATTAAAAATAATTGATGCGGTAAAGTTGATAGTCAGCTCATTGGGAGATCCGCCTTTTGAGCCTTAGTAAATTATCAGTTTTCTCAAATAGCTTAACTTATAAACCTCTTTGTTGTTCCAATTTTCTGAAATAATTAGATATATTAAATGAAACAATTGTTTAAGAATTTATATTTGCAAACCTCGATATAGTACTATCCTTGTAAAACACCAGTGAGTACTTAGCGAAGAGATTTATCCACATAAACATTAAATACAGAATTCTTTAGTTTACAGGTAAGCCCCCTTTTAACACGGGAGTTATGTTCCAAAAAATTGCCATGTTATGCAAATTTGTATTATATGAAACAAAGAACAAGTAAAAAAAGGGGGGTTAGGTTCCAAAAATTAAAAAACGCTATTATATTTTCATAATTAAGATAAATATCGTTATTAAAATTTTCTTGAGCGATACATATTANAGAACAAGTACAAAAAGGGGGGTTAGGTTCCAAAAATTAAAAAACGCTATTATATTTTCATAATTAAGATAAATATCGTTATTAAAATTTTCTTGAGCGATACATATTAATATAAATTAAACAATGTTTTCTTTGTTATCACTAAGCACTATTAGCTTTTTGAGGGTGTTTTCTTTTTGGCAAGATATCCTTATCCTCTGAGCATTTTTCTGCATTATCTTCAGATCCATGCTCTACCTTTTGCAAAAAAGATGTTATTTTAGATTGTTTGCTTTTAGTTAAAAGATCTTTATAAATTTCCTTATATGGTGCTAAGCACTTATGAAGAATAAAACAAGTATGGAATAAGGGAAAACATCTGGCAAGACAAAATCAGAAGCATTGAGATTTGGCAACACCGAAAAAAGTTTCAAGAAGGATTATGTGTATCGATAGAAGGCGGAAAAGAAAATTTACATACTTAAGTACTAATAGTTCACAAAAGTAATAATTTTCGTAAACTATTAGTACTTGAGTATGTGAAAATTTATTACATTTCATGTTGTACGAGGGTTTTATCCAATTCTCGAACTGTGTTAGAATGAATCCGTGCTATAGAAGTGCTATGTTATATCGGGGTTACCTGTATGCGAATTACTAAATATAAGATTTTGCATTGCAAATTTCATTGTTATCACCAAATCTTAGATTTTTCAAACACTGCCATATCAAACTCATGTGTAGACCTTGTTACTAGAAGTAATTCTTATTGCTTGAAATACTTTAGTTTAGCTTGACATTCAGTTTAATGTTAGTTTTAAGGATGAAAAAATAGTGACAATAAATTAAAGTTTAAGAGCATTTTGATAGTGAAACATTTCCTATCAAAATACTCTCAGACTTTGATTATTTGATATTAATTTTAAAAATTTTCAATTGCATTTTGTTTCAAAGTATCCTGTATTTTGCTATCTGATCTTGTAAAATTTTGTTAATTGCTCTAAAAAAATGCATGAACAGTTTGGATGTGTATAAAAGTTGTTTTTAGTTGATAAAACTTTAAATAATAGCTGAGTTAACTAAAGTTTTATCCTCTGTTTATCAAATTTAAGTAGTCAACAGATTTAAAGTCAAAAATGAATTTAATATATATTTATTGCCAAATTGAATAAAAATTACATTTAAAATTGTTTTGTTGCAGTTTTAAGAAAACATGGCAAGCTGATTGCTTTCTTTCGGTCATTTCTACTTTCTCGTCCTTCCAGAAGGAAATTAAAACAAAGTGGAATATTAAAGGAACGTGTTTTTGGTTGTGATTTGGGAGAACATTTATTGAATACTGGAAGAGAAAGTAAGTATATGCAATAGAGTTATGTTTTTAAACAAGCTGATTTGGATATAGGATTAATTTATTGTTGAAAAAAGAAAATAGATTGTTTACTTTGAATTATGATTTGCATTATATTACAGGTGTCAGTTGATTAATGCAGTTAATTAATCCCTCAATTCTACTGTGTATATTAAAATGTGATATCTGTATTAAGTAAAGATAGCCAGTAAAGCTGCATAAATTAAAACCTCTGCCATGTATATAAAGGGATTGCCACAATAAATTTTACACAATAAACAAATCCTGTTAAGCAAGGGATACCTGTATATTTACAATTAAATTGATACATATTTTTTCATAAAATTTGAAGCCATTTGTTTATTTGTAGTTTGAATTTATATACAAATATAATAATAATTTCAAATGTTTAGTAAGTATAGATTGGTTTGTATAATTGATATAAGATAATTTTTGTACATAAAAAATTATCTTATATCACTTTGCACTGCTTAATAAATATTTTTATCTTATGCACTGCTTAATGATTGGGATACATTCAAAGAATGTATCCCAATCATTAAGCAGTGCATACTCATACTTTGAAATTACAATAATGATGGTTACAAATGAAACTTAAGTTTTCCTTATTTGATTAATTAATAGATAAACATTCCTAGTTTTAATAATTACTTTTTAAACATTTTATCTTCATATATATATTATGGTTTTAATTTTTTAAAATTATGTATTAACTTTATAGTTCCATTGGTTTTAAAGTGTTGTACAGAATTTATAGAAGAACATGGGATAGTTGATGGAATATATAGACTGTCTGGCGTTAATTCAAATATACAGAAGCTCAGGTATGTATGACATAAAAAGTCGTTACTAAAAATTTCAAAAAATTATAAATTTAAAGCTCACTCATACTTACATATATTTTTTCATTATTAGTTGCTGCTGCTATCTTTATTACCCTTATTGTAATAATTTTAAAAATCTTAAATTTTTATCTAGTTTTTATTTAATAAAATTAATTTGTAAAACAGAAATGCTAACCACCTACAGATTTTCTCTTGTTTCTAGGGGAGTCGCATGTAAAGTACAGACTTACGAATAATCTTATAAAAACTATGAAATGATCTTTTATATTTTCAAATGGGCATGCTAATGCTACATGTATAAGTGTTAGTTAGAACTTCATTGGTATATCAAAAAACATAACACCTTAATTACTGAGAAAATTTAATGAAAATGCAAATGTTTTCAGCCAAATCTGTTGGCCATCATCAGGCTAAGAACATTCGAATAAAAATAAAATAGAACAAAAATTTAAATACAAATAAAAAATAACGACTGAAATATATATATAAATTNATGCAACCGTTTTCAGCCAAATCTGTTGGCCATCATCAGGCTAAGAACATTCGAATATAAATAAAATAGAACAAAAATTTAAATACAAATAAAAAATAACGACTGAAATATATATATAAATGTGTAAAGAAAAATAAAAATTATTATTATAAATAACAAAATATGTATATGAAAAAATAAGCATAGGTTAATTAAATATCAAAACGTTACATAGAAATTCAATGAAATGCAAGTCATGCAAAAAAATACTAAAATCAAGGCATTAAATTAAGAGCTGTCTAATTGTTTGATTAAGTATTTCCAGGCCGAAGGCAACCCTTCAGAATCTCTAGAATTAATGCATGTATAAAGCAATCTGCTTTTATATATTTCAATTTTTTCGGCGCAAATCGCCAACGTCAATGAATGTATTGGTTTAATAATACTTGCTTCGTCCCATTTGATGATTGAGCCCTCAACTTGCGCCAATTGCAATAGTATTGTGGCATTAGATCCCTTGCTGATATTGTATTTATGTTTTTTTAATCTGACTCCTAAACTTCTATTAGTGACACCAATATAATTTTTATTGATATCTAGTTCACGATTTTCATAAGGAATCCTGTATACTCTTGTTCGTTTTTCTTTATCTATGCTGTCTTTGTCATTCCTTAATAATTTGTACAGGTTAGGAGCTCTCTTGAATATTAACTTGGACTTTTTGTGGGCTGAGATTTCCTTCATGATGGCTTTTCTCTTTCTGTCATAAGTGAACTTTTTGATTTTGCCGAAATCACAGTTTTGAGCTTTAGTTTTGTTTATTTTGTATTTTTTTATCAATGTTGTTATCATATCTTCTCTGTACCCTAGAGATCTGGCAATATGTAATATTCTATTAATTTCTTTTTGCCTATCCAACACACTACTGCAATAGAGAAAGGCCCTTTGGATAAGGACACGGAAGACAGCCATTTTGTATTGGTAAGGATCATTTAGAGTGGGACGGAATGTACAGAGGGCTATGCGTCGGTTTTACGTATACCTTAGTGGCCAAATGTCCTTCTTTGAATTCATTGTCAATATCCAAAAAATGTATCCGTGAGGCACATTTCTGTTCAATCTTCAGCATGAGGCCATCATCATTGTTGTTGATCTTGTTAATAAAATCATCGATTTTTTCGTCATTCTTCCAAACTACAAAGACATCATCAACGTACTTTTTAAAATATACAATGTCATTTAAGAAAACAGAAAGAGCACTTTTTTCCAATTTTCTCAATACAAGCTCTCACAAAAGTCCTGACATGGGACTTCCCATAGGGACTCCTTTTTTTTGTCTGTACTGATGGCCATTAAAGGTGAAAAAAGATTCATAACAAATAAGGTTAGCTAGTTCTATCAATTCATTACTGTAACATGCCAAATCTGGGCTCTTGCTGTGCATGAAATCTAAAAGTGCTAACCTGCATGATTCAATTTTTATAGACGGGTATAAACTTTCATAGTCCATCACAGTTCCAATTTCATCGTCCATTAAAATTAGATCTTATATCTCATTAACCACCTCCCTTGGATCCTGTGCCACATGTACATTACTCTCGAGGTGCGAGGTGAGAAATTTATGTAATTTCTTTTCAAGAATAAATGTTGGTCCTCTGCACTTTTCCACTATAGATCTCATTTCTTTACCCTCCTTATGGGTCTTGGCAAAAACAAACAACCTCGGCATACTTGGCCTGGGATTACGACAATTTTTGAGGAAAGATAATGCATTAGTGAGCTTAGCTTTTTCAAGTTTCTTAACCCTTCTGTCGATGCTGTCGATAATCTTTGTTTCAACACTCTCACATTCGGCTTTCTTAATATAATCCTCCAATGCATTATTATATGTCTGCCTTTTCATGATTACCAAGGTTTTGCTTTTGTCAGCTCTTGTTGTAACTAAATTATTTTTTCTAAGCCAACCTTTAGTAAGTTTGATGTATTTACCGGCATAACATCTTTTCTTACAAGTCGTCTGGTCTTTTATGACGGTTTTTCCATCAGAGGTATTCTTTTTCTAAAGAATCTAGCCCAGATATTCCTCTTTCTATTTCTTGGATTGATGTTTCCCATGAGTTTGAATTTTCCGGGACTAAGTTTGGTCCCCATTTTAGAAAATCTTTGATCCTAGTCGGGACTTCTATTTGGTCCCACAAAATAAATGCTGAAGGATTGCTATTAACTGCTCTTGATGCTTGCTTTTTAAGAATCCACTTCATTTTATTAATGTATTTATTCCTTAAATTCATTCGAACTTTATCTGTTAGCACAACTATGCCTTTGTTAATTTCTACCAACATTTTAGGATCTTCATTGTATATATTATCTTCTAATGTGATGAGCTCATGCAAGATACCATATTTTCTATTCTTAGCAATTCTAATTGACTTACAAAGACACATTAGACAAAGCCTAGCTTTCAAAGAAGCACATTCTTTTAGGATGCTAATCCTATATATCGATATTGGAAATACCTTGCTTTTCAAACATTCTTTCAAAAATTCAAACTTGCAATCTGCCTTGACAAGTTTTAACATTATCTTTCTATACTTCCTGTAATAATCCACCGGTGCCGCCATATTAAAATTGAAGTACACTCACTCAGCTCACTTATGATAGAAAGAGAAAAGCCATCATGAAGGAAATCTCAGCCCGCAAAAAGTCCAAGTTAATATTCGAGAGAGCTCCTAACCTGTACAAATTATTAAGGAATGACAAAGACAGCATAGATAAAGAAAAAAGAACAAGAGTATACAGGATTCCTTATGAAAATCATGAACTAGACATCAATAAAAATTATATTGGTGTCACTAATAGAAGTTCAGGAGTCAGATTAAAAGAACATAAATACAATATCAGCAAGGGATCTAATGCCACAATACTATTGCAGATACAGATACAGATAATTTTATTGATCAGATACCAACGGGTACATGCCCAGCACCGTAAAAACATAACCGGGTAAAGCGCGACAATATGGAGAAAGTGAGTACAGGTCCAGTAGATTGAGTGTACACACGTACAGTACACTTACAGGAATACAGTAGTATAAAAATTATACAGGAGTACAAAGGAAAGTTTTACATGGAATACAAAATAAACACTATACAGGAATTACTTATATTATATGAGAATACGATAATTGACACATTGTACAGGAGTTTAGGAGTACAAATAGAGTTCAGTAGACGGAGTACATAAATGATATTACATTTTGCAGAGATATTTTAATATAAGCATAATACAGTAGTGTCTCGTACAACGTACTTAATCCATTCCAGGTGCACGTCCGTTAAGTGAAACGTCCGTTATACGAAACGCATTTGCCCATAGAAATACATGTTAAAACATATAATTCGTTCCGCAGCATAAAATAACCGTACTGTACCATAAAAAATGAAAATGGAGCAGACACCAATTATGCCAGGTAGTCAGATGTTGTGAGGAGGAGGTGGAAGAACACTTTCTTTACACATTCATACAGATACAGACTTTTTACACATTGCAGCGGGTCTTTTTTTATTGTTTTTTAATCGGAGTCAGATTCAGGAGAGGCTACCGGAACTTGCAGGGTCAACTTCTCTTGTTCCATCCTTTGTTTTTTGCCCGCTGGCTTCTTGAAAAACATGACCAAGGTGGTCTGTTTCTCTTTCTTCTTTAACACCTGTCGGAAATGACGGACAAAGGTGTCATCGTAGAGATCATTGATCCTGTTGGCCTCAGCTCTGTTTGGATAATGAGTGTTGGTAAACTCCTGAACCTCTCCCCATTCGACAAGAAAGTTTTTGTCAACTTTCACTCCTGATGATTTCTTGCTTTGTTTCAATTGAAATCACCTTTCTGTTTTTTTTAGAAGCCATGATGCATTATAAATGACTTAACTTGCCAGATTATATGATACGAATAATTCTTTATTAATTAAGATCACTAAACACTTCTACGAGCTACTCTCGCTCCGTTTGTTTTTTACAACCTCTTTTCGTCCCGCCACCTTGGCATCTACACAATTACATTTCGTTTATTTGAATCGTCAACATATACTGTATTACATTACATTTAATGTTTATTTAAATCATCAACATATATTAAATTACATTTCTACTTCAGATATACTAATAATACATTCTAATAATACTAATATATCCTAAAAATAGCAGATTGTCATTGGCAACGGCAAAAGAGTGGAAACATCATTCGCACTTGTTCGAAAAAAGTCCATTGTTTGTCTCACGTAACTGCTGAACTGAAAGTCCGTTGTTCGCAGCAAGTCCGTTGCTCGAGTCACGTAACGGTCAAACAGAAAGTCCGTTATTCGCAGCGTCCGTTATTCGAGGCGTACGTTATACGAGGCCCCACTGTACTAGAGTACAGATAATATATACATTAATAATTACATGGCATGGTGGAACACTTAAAGTATTTAACAATAAGCGTGTTGAAAGCCTCATAGGTGTTCTTGTGTTTGAAGATCTCGTAGCAGTCGTTAGGCCAGGACTTGCCGTGGGCCTCTAGAACGATTTTGAGGTATAGCCTCTCCAGCTCTAGGGCAGGACACTCGAAGAGGTAGTGTGAAGAACTGTCCACGACTCCACATAATGAACAGTTAGGGTTAGGGGTGTTGCGGAATCTCGCCAGATAAGAGTGGAATCCTCCGTGGTTGGTGAGGAATTGGCTCATGCGTTGATTAGGGCAGTACCACTTGCTGTTAATGAAGTTTCTGATGACTGGAATAAGCCTATGTGTGGTGGGATGCCTCCTCTCATCCCAGTCCCGTTGTCAGGAGGTAAGTAGATGGTCCTTCAGGATGAATTTGATGGAGTGGATGCTAAGTTTGTTGTAGGCCACTGGAAGGTCATGGTCAGAGCTGGCGGACTTGGCAAGGGCGTCCGCCCTCTCGTTGCCGAGCGTTCCCTGGTGGGCACAATACTATTGCAATTGGCTCAATCATCAAATGGGACGAAGCAAGTATTATTAAACCAGTACATTCACCAACGTTGGCGATTTGCTTCGAAAAAATTGAAATATATAAAAGCAGATTGCTTTATACATGCATTAATTCTAGAGATTCTGAAGAGTTGCCTTCAGCCTGGAAATACTTAATCAAACAATTAGACAGCTCTTAATTTAATGCCTTGATTTTAGTATTTTTTTGCATGACTTGCATTTCATTGAATTTCTATGTAACGTTTTGATATTTAATTAACCTATGCTTATTTTTTCATATACATATTTTGTTATTTATAATAATAATTTTTATTTTTCTTTACACATTTATATATATATTTCAGTCGTTATTTTTTATTTGTATTTAAATTTTTGTTCTATTTTATTTATATTCGAATGTTCTTAGCCTGATGATGGCCAACAGATTTGGCTGAAAACGGTTGCATTTTCATTAAATTTTCTCAGTAAATTAAGGTGTTATGTTTTTTTTATTTACATATGCTGAGTGAGTGTACTTCAATTTCGTTGGTATAGAAATGCCAGTATGTTTAATTGTGGAAAATACAGACATGGAGTGCTTCTGCTTTATAAGCTTTTGGGCCTGTCTATTTAAAAACTTGTTCTCGTGCATGATCAAGTTTGACGGTTGTGCTAAGACCTGTAAAAAAATGATTCTTGCTTGCATTTAAAAATGGTGCATGGTCTTCTGACATCACGATCGGGTGTGCTAGAAAAAGAAAAAAGCAAAAAGACTTTGTAGTGTGTGCATGACATAGACAAAATGGTGGATTTTGTCAGTTATACATATTTTGTTCTATCAAATGTGAAATATATATTTAAATTTATTTTTAAAATTTTAAGAAGTACTTTACGATGAAGTGGATTTTTTTCTATTTATTCATTTAATTACTTAATATAATTAAATTTATAAAATCAATCTATTCTATATATATAAAATATTTAGCTTAAAATCATCATAACATGTTTATCTTTTACAAATGAAAAAAAAAGAAATGACAGCATTGGAAATCATTGAATCATCATAAAATTTTTTAACACATAGGTAAAGCCTGTGGGCAAGCAAGTAAAGCAAGTGCAGTTGAAATAATCTAGTATCATTATAATTTGTTTAGATGATAATTTGAAAACATTAGGGCTTACTTTAGACTAAAATTGAGATAATTTATGAATATCTTAAAATTAAGGTAATGATGTTGTATTAGAAGGGAAGGTGTATTTGGGCTCATCTCTCACTCTCCATATCCTGTGTTATTGATGGCCTTCTTAGATTGGCATCTCTGATACTAAGGGAAAAATTATATATTAAATTTAACTTTATTATTCGATTTTTTGCTGGAAATGATTATTTATAGTGCATACTTTTTTCTGTCAAATAACTGATTCTTATCATAAAATGTTTGATATTCAATGAGAAATTTGTTTGACTGGAGGTAAAATGTCAAATATTGCAAAGAGAATCAGGATGAGGATAAATTTAATTATTTAGATGCTATACCACCCAATGAGAAAAAAGGAAATACTATGTCTGACCAAATCATGCCAAGTGTGCATAAAAGATTTTTTTAAATGTGTAAAACATGCCACTACTACTGACTGTGCCAAAATAAGCTAGCTGCTAGTGCAGAAAATGTTTCAGTTGTTTTGTATTATTTTTCTGTGAATAAGTGTTCTGCTGTCTGGTGTCATAGTTTATTTTTCTCTATTTTAGACATCAACTATTTATTATTTACATTATTTGCTATGAATTTGCCTATTTTTGGTACTAAAGGCAAGACTGTTTTATTAGACAACTCCATAGGTATAAGAAAGGAATTCTGGTTTCTGGTGTGAAGTTGACATATAGACACTAAACACACCTTACACACTTTCCCAGCAATGAAATTTAAATTATTTAAATTTTGTCCTGTAACCCGACAAAGGCTTGTCAACTAGGCAAAAAATGTTTGTTTTGAATAAATTTAGTTGTGGAAAAGTAAGGTATATTTAGTGTCTTTTTATACCAAAGTTCCAGCTTAGACTATTATTGAAACTTGTATTAATCTATTCCACTCTCCTAAATTTTCATTACTTAATCTGATTTTCTCTGTTGTCCTTTTTTTTCTGTTTTTAATTTTAACTTAATTTTTTTGTTTTTAATTAATTTTATTAAGAGACTTGCTAACTATTTTCTGCTTTAAAATTGCAATAAATATCAAGTATTTTGTTTATATTAATGAAAGTTTTTTTTTCTGAAATTACATTTAGATAATTTATTTTAAATTTAAAAATCTTCTTATGTGAATACTGGAACACACATAAATTAACACACATAGACAATTTTTTGATTTACTTTTCTTTTGTTTTGGAACTGTATATTATTCTTTATATTGTAATTTATTGTTATAATATTTGTATAATATTGATTATAAAAATGTTACAAATTGTTTATAATATTCTGTCTGAATACCATCCTGTTTGTAGTTCTGTTTATTTCTGAAGAGTTATAATTACAAAAGTATTTGAATTATTTATTAAGTAGTCATTTTAATGACTCATATTTTGATTTTAATGTTAGAAAGTGGTTATAATTATAATGTTTTGTGTTCATCTTGTGTACCTATAATATGAAATTAAGCAGTATACCATATAAACCTCAAATGAAAAGTCAAAAGGGATTGGATAGCCTTAGCAAATTCATGAGTCAGCAGCACTTGTTACTACCATGTAACTAGTTGCAAGAAACATCTAATCTTGAATGTTTACTTATAATAAGTTTAAAATATACTCTTTGCATGTAAACTTTTCTTTTTTCACTTTGTGTATGTACATAGTAAATATTCTAGATTATAGTCAGTATTTTCTTTTTAGAATTTAAATCTATAATATTAATATTGATGCTATAGTAAAATAATATAATTTTGTTGCTAATTAATATATTGATTTGCCATATATACAAATTTAGAACTGCCATTAAATTTTTTCCTCCATTATGCATTTTCATCTTGCAGAACACTCTTACATTCTTTCACAGAATCTGCCAGTTTGCAAAACCCAGTGGTGTAGATTAGAACATTCTGTAGCTTGTTATTGAAAGGTTAAATTGTATAAACTATATTTTATTATTTTTCTTTTTACTTTCTTTCATTTTCAGTACATTTGTTGCATCCAAAATGTTAGGTGTAAACGAATGAACTTTATAAACAAAATTGGTAACTCCACGACAGAGGAGCATTTTATGTTCTGCAGTTTGCAATGTCAGAATCGCACATCATTGTGCAACATGAGTAATCTGCAGGAACTATAGAATTGTGCTGCTATAGGACAAGTGACAATGAATATGTAGTGTGTGTAGGAAGAATTTGAGTATGGGTTGGATGTGTGCTGTTTGGCACAAGGTTCATGCAATGAGAAACTATAATGGGTAAATGAAAAACTTGGACAGTTTTTCAATGTTTTAATGCACATTATGATGCTCTCGGATATTAAGTAACATAACTACAGTAATTTAAAATGGTAGCATTAGTTTTGGAAGACCCTGTATATGTCATAGGATGTTTAGTATGAATTATAGATATTCAGGTAAATAGAATGATGGATTCTTACCTTTATAATAATAAATCTGCTCACATTATCTTACGTTTACAAAGATTTATTATAAACTAGCCTTGAGCATTAGCTCATTCTTTGATTTCCTGCAGTTTGTTTGCTTTCAAAAATGAAAATGGTTGAAAAAGTTTGGTATTCAAAAATATCATCAGTAATTTGTAAAATTTGTTTGTTGTTATATTTTCTTAATTGATGTCAAATGTTGTTTTTATTAAAGGCTCTGATTTATGAGGATAATTTCTGTTATATGACAAATTTGTATATAACTAGAAATTGTGACCAATACAAAGAGTTTTAGGTGCAATTTTTAGATAAAATCTCAAATAACCTAAATTTTTAGTGTGTTTATTCTACTTTGATACTATTGATGTAATTAGTGCTTTTCTATTTTCTTCTACTTCAAAAAATTGCAACAGATTTATATTGTAATGTAAAAATATATGATTTCAGGTTAGCATTCGATGAAGATCGAATTCCTGATCTTACCGACGAAGCCATCGTCCAAGATATCCACTGTGTTGCCTCTTTGTTAAAAATGTATTTTCGTGAATTACCAAATCCATTATTAACATATCAGTTATATGATAAATTTGTGGTAAGGTTAAACTTGTTATAATTCTAACAACTTTATAAATAATTAAATTCTATTTATAAAAATTCTTCTATTACTTATAGAATGCTGTGCAGTCCGAAGAAGAAGTTAGATTATTAAGATTACGTGATGTGGTTCAACAGCTGCCACCTCCTCACTATCGTACTTTAGAATACTTAATGCTTCATCTTGCAAAAGTTGCTGGTCATGGAGGACGAACTGGAATGACTCCAAAAAATGTGGCAATTGTCTGGGCCCCAAATTTATTGAGGTGAATAAAATATATAATTATTATTATTGTATCATTTACTTTCATTATTCAATATTCAAACTTTTTTAATATTAGTTTAATAATTCTATTTTAAATTATTATAACTCATAGATCAAAGGACGTTGAAGGTGGTGGAGTTGGTGCCCTTCACGTAGTGGGTGTTCAAGCAGTATTAACCGAATATCTGATCCGTTATGCAGATCTCATTTTCAATGAGAAGCTTCTTACATTTCAGAGTCCAGGTCCCGATGAGAGTAAGAAATAATTAATGAAGTGTTTTGTCAATAAAATGAACAAATTTAATTAATTTTGAGTATTTAAATTACTAAGCAATGCCAACTGTAAACATACCAAGAAATTTAAATTGAATGTAAAATTGTATTCCAAAAGCATTACTACTAGTAGCAAGCATAAAAAAATTATTTACCATAAATTTTATTATTCAAAATGTTTAAACAGTAATTTATTTAAGTATTACTATTATTATGCTCCATAGTTTTGTTTAAATTTACATTACATACATGCTTCTTCAAGAGTATTGTAAAATTTTCTGTAAACTATAACCTAAGTACTCTTTAACACATTTCATCCATTTTCAGAGAATACTTAGGCTATTGATTATAGAAAATTTCGTAATATTCTAGAAGAAGCAAGTATTTATTTTAATTTAATTATGTATACTGTATAAATTTTTCGTCTACAAGTACGTATTTTGCAATATCAGGACTTACTATACTAGCTTTAGAGATAATGCTACAGAGTTTCACAGAAAACAATTTTTTGTTTTATTTAATATACCTGACAATTATTTATTTATTTATTTATTTAATATACCTGTTTTTCAAATACCATATTTCAGATTTTAATTTTTCTATTTCTTTCTCCATGTTTCCTGTTCTTTGCATTCTCTGATTCACCAGAATTTTGGCTAAATATATTATTAAAAATATTGTTTAATTAAAATCTAAAATACGGTATTTGAAAAACAGGTATATTAAATAAAACAAAAAATTGTTTTCTGTGAAACTCTGTAGCATTATCTGTAAAGCCAGTATAATAATTATAGTCCTGATATTAGAAAATATGTACTTGTAGATGAAAAATTTATATTTTAGTAAGTCAAGGACATTGAGGAATTTTAATTAAATTATGTATACAGTACTTTTAATTGCATTTTATAAATTAAGGATATAAATTTAAATAAATTCAATGTTAAGAGGTGCAAAAAGAAAGAAAATTGAAAACAAACCTGATATTAGATCTTTTGATTTTTTCAAAGGAAATTAATTGTAAATACAGAATCTAATGATAATATATATAATTAATGTTTCTAAAACTCTAAAATATAAGTTTATTTTGCTAAGCTTTGCTGCAATTTACATCGTTATAAGCTTAACCTTTTAGCAGTAGGGTTAGTTAAGTATGGTGCTATCCCTATGCAGTGGAGAATAAACGTGGAAAATTATTTAAGTATTTTTCCACATGTTTTTTTCTCATTACCATTTCGGAAAAAGATTTTGTAAACAGTTATGTCTAGTAAAGAAAAGTTTTTTTTTTATTGTTACATAATTTCTTTTTTATGTGAATTTTTTTTGCTGTAGTTTTTGGCAATAACCGCAAATTTTGTGGATATATTGGTTGTTCACCAGTGCCACACGATCGCCCTTGATGGATATATTTGTTGGTTACTACTGAGTGGATAAAATTGATACAGGAAATAACAAAATTTCAAGAGTTACAAACAATCAGTCAGCATAATTTAATTAGCAATCTGTTTTAATTTAATATATCTAATAAATTTGATTTGTTTTACAAAGTATTATTTTTTAAAAAATATTTTAGGAAACGTCAAACAATTAACAAAAACTTGTTAGTTTATGATATTTTTGCAAAATTATATCATCTCTTTTCTTCCTTTTATTCACTTCCTCTCCAATTAATCCATTTTTTTGTCTCAATCTTTATACAGTTTTTTCATCATTCCCTTAGTCTAGCAAAGAGGCCAAACACATCATCCTTCTTCAAAATAGTGTCATGTCTTTGTATTTTAAGATATCAGCAATGTTTCCCAATGTCTTAAAATAATATAATTTATCTTCAATTAATTATACAGTCAAACCTCAATTTTCAAATGCCTCACTTTACAAACAGTTCGGTTTACGAACAGAATTTCAAACTCATAATTGCGCCAGTTGTTGAACAAATACTCCGCAAGAGCAGGCCACAGATTACAGAGATGCAGATGGTTGGCTTCATATACTTCCTATGTTAAACAAAGTCGATAGCCCAACCAATTAATGACAAGACTTCCAATTCAGAAGTTGGTGTTGAAATCACCTCACGTTGTTAGATGTCAGGACACAAATCATTGATGACGTTGCTATTTAAATTAGATTTCAATGCTCGTGCGGGAAAGATACTATTTTTGTTTTTCGGTATGTGCCGCAGTCAAATCTAAATCAAATTAATTAATAAAAACTGCTTTCTGGTACTTTTGAAACCGTGCCAATAATTTTTAGTAATTCAAACACAATAAATTTAATGATGAGATTTGCCAAGTGTCTGAATAAATACAATAAAGAATTTGTGTTTGAATTACCAATAAAAACTGCATTAATTGACATTCACGTAATATAAAGGGTATCCAAGAATTTGTGTTTAAATATGTTTAAGTTAAATATTTAACAAAGATTTATTAATATAATATAATATATTGCATTTGTAGGCATTTTTATGAATGAAATACAACTAAAAAAGGGGCTTTGTTTTGGGGGTTGGGATTGGATTAATCCATTTTATATTGTTTCTTATGGGAAAATTTGTTTTGGGCTTAGAACAACTTTTAGGAAGAATACTAGCTGGGCATATAACTTATGCCACTGCTTTTTAACCTTTAATAAGGTAAAGAAGGATACTCGTTGTCCAGAATTCATCTTGTACATTAAAAGTGAAAAATAATATTGGACTTCACGCTGAATATTGGATAAGTAAAGTTGATAAAACTCTGCAATTTTCCCAGTTGTTCATATAAAGAGGCCGGGCAGCAAGACTTTGTAAACTGAAGGTGGGCAAGATATACCCTTAGCTCTACTTCTGCCAGAGCTTTTCGTTTGCATTTGATTAACTTCGAAAAAAGCAATTTCTCCACATTCTGTAAGGTAGCTCGTAGGCACGCAGGAAATGCTCTTTGGTTGATGGTGATGCACTTCGGGACTATGCCATGTCTTCTGCACTTTAGTAAGAATACTAGCGAATACCAATACTAATATTGGACTTCACGCCGAATATTAGAAGTCCAATATTATTTTTCACTTTTAATGTACAAGATGAATTCTGGACAATGGGTCTTTTTCTTTACCTTATTAAAGGTTAAAAAGCAACAACTTTTAGGAATAAATTATCGTATTTACTCGTATATAGGATGAGGTGTGACTTTAAGGATTAAAAAAAATAGAAAATTAGATTTATTAATACAATTCTAATTTTATTTCGTTTAATCACAAAGTTAAAATCCTTAAAGTTAAAATGCCAGTAAAATATCAAATGAACGTAAATGCACACATTGTTCTGCAAAAATTACTGGCATTTTAACTTTAAGGAAAAATCTTGTAAAATCAACAACATTATGTTCATATAAAGCTGGACAATTGGGAAAAAATGCAAATACAAGATTCACAAAAATTATTTGCAAAAATGCAAAGAATCTTTCGCTCGTGCATATAGGACGATCTAGGAATTTGAAGCTGTGGTAAATGAATAAAAACCTTGTCTTGTATGCAAGTAAATAAGGTATGTTCGAAAACCAAGGTTTGACTGTATATAGAATATGAAAATATGTATCAGTCATTGTTTACAATTAAAATAATGACTGTGCAAGAAAATATTATTTGTATTGAGTGTAATTTGCAACATATTGTGTATATGAATTCTTATGCCTCTATGTTTTTACTGTATTAATTTTAATTAGATCTTTGTCTCCATCAGACTTGGTATATTAATAGGACACCAGTATAATAAGTCCTATTAATATACTAAGTCTGACATAGACAAAGATATACATGATACTCAATTTTAATAATATATTTTGTTATCTGATTTTTTTAAAGAAAAATATTTGATTTTTGAAAGCCATTGAATACGAGATTTTGATAGATTGATTTTTGTAAGATATAAAAATTCATAGAATGATACATGAATAATCTTCAGATAAATTATTATGTCATGTAGGAAGATGTTTGTCATAAAAACCACAAAACTTGCTTTCATTACAAAACACAAACTATAAAAAATTGATTCATTTCTACATCTGTATCATATGCAAATTATACTTATTCTGTAAAATTGTATATAATAAAATAACATTTTGGTATTAAAATGTAATGATTAATAGTAAATGACACTTTCATACCAAATCAAATTATTTTTGGATTGTTATATAGATGTTGGTAGCTGTTGAACTAGTTTATAATACACCAAAATATACAGTTTATTGATTTGTCATGCTGAAAAAAAGTATATCAGTTTTCATGTATTAATTAACAAATATTACCATAAGATTTTTAAATTTAATATTAATAATTAACATACTCAATCAGTTACACGCAGCCACAAATATGTTTATTAGACTAACTTTTTCGGTCATATTTAATTATCTTTGTTGGGTTTGCTATTCAAAAAATCAAACTATTTACAAAAGCTAACAGAAAATAGAACAAAAACATTGGAATGCCAAACATTTTTGCTGCTTACAAGGTTGTATATAGCTGATTGAGTAATCTATTGAAGCAGTTATTTTATGAATTATGAATAATAATTTGTGTAATATATTTATTCTTAGATCTATAGAATGCAAAAAAAATTTTTGATCTTATGCCAGTAAGCTTTTCAAACTGCCAGATTTATTTAAAAATTCAGTGTTTTTGACTGCCTTAGTAATCAATCATCTGCAGATTTGGAGATAGATTTCTAAAACATGAATGCTACATTCCAGAACACTTGATATATAAAAACAAACGTGTGTTGATTTAACATTAATAAATGTCAGGAAAAAAATATAGAAACTAACAAATAATAATTAAAAATGACAAACAAACAAATATAATTGTATACTTAAGAGGAAGCATATTAATCAAGCTGTTTAGGTTAAATTTTATTGTAGGCCTTTCCCTGCTTTTGGATGTATTTCCTATAATTTTTTCAGGAGTTACAAAAAATTAAGTGCTTTAAAAGTACTAATGTTCTAAAAGGAAACAGTTCAAATTAGGAAAGCTTTACTGTTCTATGGCAAATATGATGGATGATGAAGTTTCTTTTCCACAAGTGATTTTGTTAATGAAATCAAGACTGGTAGAGAGCACTACTGCATTGTAGCTTGAAACTTCTGTTTTTTGGCTCAAAATATATGAAAATACAAATTTAGGACAGAAAAAACTATTTGTTTATCATTTTAATTATTTTTTTGGGTTTTTACGTTCATTAATTTTTTAATTTTGAATACTTGCGTGCTTGCTTTTAAATGTTATTCATCTGGAATATAATATTAGTTCATAGTTTAGAACTTTGTTTCCAGTTCTAAAGATATTTGATTAAGACAGTCAGAACAATAGTCACTTTAAATAAATCTGTTTTAAAACACTTTAATAAATCATGTCTAATTGCTAGCAAACATAGCGTGGTGCATAGAGGAGAGTAAATATAACAATGTTTGAGTTTTATTTTTATAAATGTTGTATAATAACCTGTAAAATTGTGTTTGGTTATTATACAAAAATAAACTTTAGGAATGCCAAATGAAAACAACATTGCTCAAAGTATTGTTATCTATATGACTAAACTGTTAATTGAAGAAAATTTATAAGTTAAGTTGAATTTCAAATGCATTGTATAGAACAAGGGTGGGCAACCTTTTTTATAACATGGGCCAGAATAAATTTTACGTTTTTTCCGCGGGCCATAGTAGTAAATTGACACCTTGTGACCTGTAAATTTTTAGTCTGCAAATATGAAATAAATAAATAAAAAAAATTAATTACTACAGTCGACCCCCCTATAACACTGTTGATTATTCCGTTTTATATAAATTCCATGTTGTATGAGTCACTTAGATTTTACAAATGCGTGTGCCGGGCTGTGAACGGCTCACCTATTTGTAAAATCTAAGTGACTTTAAACACAATAAAAACAGCACTATGTAGTTGGATACGACAGACATTACATTTTCTAATTGCATAGCTTTTGCACATA